ATCGAAGATTATGAAAAATATGTACTGATATTATATGTAAAATATATACATTCATTTCTTATTGAAAAAAATGACTTAGCCTTAATAAAAAATACATTTCTAATTACCTCTATTTATTAACATGAAAATGTAAATTGTGTAATTTCTTTACGAATAATGCTTTTTGGGAACTTTTGGAATATTGAAAAATCTTCATTTGAGCATTGAATTTTAATATAAAATCATAAAAATTTAGTTACAGGATCTTTAAGACTTAATATTGTATATACACAATGGAAATAGTAACCTGCTAATTTAAACATACAAACGACCTAACAGATAACAACCAATACAGAAATAAAATGTGAACATCAGTGTATCAAACATCATATCAGTGGTGAGAAATAACTTGTTCTTTCTCAGAGTAAAAATAATTTAAAGACATTTTAAAATGCATTTATTTCAAACTTTTATTTCCTATAAGTGGTATATACTTATGTTAAACATCAGTAAAACACATGACAAATGATATTTCAAAAATCAATATAAAGAAATACATGATCATGAGTTTACATTTTTTTTACCATTCATCAACACAAAATACTGTATAAGTGGTTATTTTTGCGACGTGGAAAAATATTAGCGATCTTTGCGAATTGAATTATTCGCAAATATTCAATAGCAAAAAATTATTTTATTTTAAGGCAAACTTTCTTCTATCATTTGAAAACACATTTTCATAAAGCATCTTAATTGAATAAGTTCAGTCACTGAGATAAATTTTTCTCATTGCTTGTTTGTTTAGGTTTGGTCTTAGAAAATCACGAATGATTCTCAATGAAAAAATATTTATATATGTGTGTGTGTTAATAACACAACATGTTAATAATATAACAAACTATTTCAAAATATGACAAAGAAATGTGTGATTAGGTCCTTTGTCAAACCAAACTAACAATGCATATTTCAAATAATTATATGATTATTAAGGTATCAAACTACTCAAAATCTCTTTTAAAGATAATATATCCTCATCTGATTGTGAAATAATTTCATTGCAGAAATATATTGAAATATAGTATTTTTTCCTGAATATGTTTAATATCGGTAAATTTATGTATAAACTATGTCTGGGAAACAAGTTCCATATTACTTGTCAAATTAATTAGGTCTATTCTAAAAAACTGCCAGTTTGTATTGACACTATGTAATTATTCTGTGATTACCTGTAGTGTGTAGAGTTTAAAACGTAAACGTAACATATTTTCTCTGTGTGTATCCAAAAGATGTTTATGTTACTTTTCAAAAGAGACTGTATAGTAATTATCAGTTTTTTTTACAAATATGAAATTGGAGCATAATATATCTTTAAATTCAAGAAATCATATTTTCGTAAATATTTTCGCACACCAAAAGTCCACTTCTTCTCAGTCGCAAAATTGTTGTGATGCATAAATATCCACTTATACAGTAACAGGAAACGAGACACTTAAGCCTGGTAACATTCGCCCGATAGCAAATTATTTTTGTAAATAGCACAATTGACGATTAAAAAAAATTAGTCTTATCGTTTTGAGATTATAGCATATTAGAAATAGAAGTTAACTTGACTTACTTGTTTGCATATAGAGAGACGTCTATTGTTCAAAAAGAAGTTAATTGCAGAGAAAATTAACTAAGCCCTTGCTTAGACAAACATACATGCACATTAAATATAAACTCAAACAAATAATCCTTCAAAAATAATTATGCGAAAACAAATAATTTGCTTTCAAAGGGATATAACTATATCAAAAATACTTTGTTGTAGCGAAAAACAATTTTATCCTGATATTTATAACATACCTTTATATCAAATATATACACAATCATTGGAATCCGTCAAAAGTTATCCTATGGGAACAAGTATCTTTTGCTTGATTCCACAGAAACTAGCAAAAATAGAAAAAAGTGTGTTTGTTATATAGTTATTCAATTGAATACATATCAATTCCAACACGGTATCTTTTAATTATTCTATCACTTACGTCTCGGTGAATGATATCATTAAATCAGGAAGTGACGTAACGCCCAGAGGCATGACTGAACGTAATGTCGATTTCAACGAAAAACATATCCGGGAAAGCATTTATGGTACCATGTGATAAAATAAATGGGCAAATATTTCATCGATAAAATTTCAGCGAGAAAATAATAGCCAGAAACAAAAATCAGATCATGTAAGATACAACATGAAACAGACAAAAAAATCAAAAAGTTGGAATAAATGACAGTTAAAAAAGATATGATATATTACAACATGCAATATTTATGAATCTTTGCCTTCATGCATTAAATTAAGTTTGTGAATCAAATATGTTTCTCCATAAGATCTGCTCATGTAGCACTTAACTTTATAAATAGTCATAAATGAAAAATTTGCTAAAAATACCTTAATTAATTGAGTTGCAACATAAGAATAGTAAGAAGGCTAAAAAATTCTTTATGTCAAATATGAAGTTTTAACAATGCACTGCAGCTTACATTTCTTACTTGATATACGATATATATCATTTTATAAGGTACAATCTTAACAGATATTTCATTTGACTGTAACACGTAAGTTATTTCCTTCAACACTATTTTACCACCCGTGTATCTACGTCTATTACATGTATTATTATTATTATTTTCTTTATTTTCTATTAAGTTATGAAGTTTTATATAAAAAAGTGTGATCATACATTTTTCCTAACTCAATTTTGACAAACAATGGTTAAAACATAATTATTTATGTAATTTTTCTAAATTTATAAATGTTTCAAAAATTTATGGCAGAATTTTTGAAATGTTTGATGTTAAATAACAATTTTCTTCGAAACAAGCATTTTGTATGAATATATATTCTATAATATGTTATTTTGTCAGTCTGAATTAATTTGGTTAAAGATGAATTTGAATTTGATTATGTCATAAAAGATAGAATGTGAAGCTTTATTGCCATAATATTTAAAACATGAAAAAAAGAAACAATACAATGATTAAGTAATTCATTTAATGTAAGCATCTGTTCCAACGATTTTACTCGTGGCGACCACTAGATATTTTATTTTTCTTAAGGATTTGAAAATCGTGATATTAAGAGGAAAATTCGTTAGTACTAAAAAAAATCAAAAATAAAAAAATAATAAAAAACGACAAAAAGGTTATATGTTCAACATAATATTTTATCAACACTTATGTTGAGGTGGGTAAATATTTGTCGGACATGAACAGTGACTTTTAGCGAGATATAAATCAGTTACAAATAACTCTAAATAAACATTGACCTCAACAAAATAATGCAACTGTAAAATAATAAATTATGCTACGTTACAATACACGCTAGCTAGGTACATAAACAAAAAAAACTTTACATCAAAATAAGCGATTTACAACAAAATCATCACAAATAAGATTGCTCGACAAAAAATGTTATTTATTGAGAGTTAAGGGTAAAATCACTTTGACACATTTTACTGTTACAGGTATTGCTGTTGCGGTTTCCAATAACATATTTCTGTACATGTACTAAATATGAAATGATTTTCCAGAAGTCAACATAGTAATTAAGCTAATATCACATTGTAACTAAATATTCATTCTATAAAAGCATTTATTGCGTTTTTGTATGGTTTTATTTACCAAAATGTTCGAAGTTTGAAGCTTATAAAAAGTAATTGAAACGCCATGGTTCTTCGGGAAGAGTAGCCTTGGTTCGAGTCTGTCGATATTTTTTTTTTTGCAAATAGACACACGAATACGGAATAGCGCATATGTTATGAATAAAGAAAAAAAATATTATAAATAACATGAAACTATCAACGCCTGAATCCCAGGCTTAAGGAAGAGAGAAACAGTAGAGAAAATAAAAAAATGGAAACAACAAAACAAAATCTGAACCACCTCTTGCGATATTTTAATTTTCCACGCTGTCATAGAAAATGAAAAAACCTCAGAAATTGATCACAACATAATTATAGCAAATAATGTTAGAGTAAATTTCTGGTTACTTTAAGGAGCTATAATTAGGCTTTGCCCAGAACTTGCCCTTCTTTATTTTTAAAAAGTAATACCAAAATATTATCACAGCGAACACTGTTATAAGGAATTAATGCTTATAACAAACTTATATTCAGTCCCAATGGACAAAAAAGGAAAAGAAAAACTAACAACAGGACAACCTTTTAATTAAGTCTGTAATTTCTATGTTTGTTTTCACTGGCATGCATTAAAAGTTGGTTCAATGAATTTACTTTTTAATACAAATTTTCAGACGCATAGTTTCATAACCTATTATGTTATTTGCCACTTATATTTTTAAATTTTTAATAACCCCTTTTACAACGACAAGTAACTTGACAAGCATGTATTTAAATTTGGGCCTTAAAAGTATTTTTAAATGGGAAATTTCTAAACATTTTAGTTACAAAACCAAATAACTTTTTACGATAAATTTTTGTCATTTGAATTGAAAAATTTTAAATCACATGCACTTTAAGAAAACTTTTTAGAGATTTTTTTAATTTAAAAGTAATTTTAATGTATAAAAACTTTTTAAAATAACATATATGAACCCCAAGGGCTATATTTATCTTTTTAATATCATGCACATTATATACTTTTAAAACTTAAAAATAGAGCTTTTTTTAAGTGGCTTTTTTAAAAATACATTTTGAAACCCCAAATGGGGTCAAAAAAACAAAACCAGTAAAATTTTTTAAATGGTTTTCTTATTTAAGAAAATTTTAAATTTGGAAAAAAGGGATAGCAAAAAACAAACAGGCGGTGTCCATAAGCGCATGATAGTTTCCATCAATATAGCCGGAATCAGTTTTAATTTGTAAAAGCATTCTCATTGTGTTTACAAGCAAACTGATTTTGTTCCAATATAGCTAGAACTGTATACATTATTGCTTGTATTAGTTTACTTGTTTGTTTTTATATATACTCAATATGTCAAAACAAACGACAAACGATACATGACACTTTTATCACATTAGTTAAATTGCACTCAGTCTGTTGTTTCCTGTTATGGATGTTCCCTTTCTCACCACCGAATATTAAATGTAATCACTTTGATCTTTAAAATAGTTTGTAACAGAAAGTAGCATATAGTTTTACAGTTAATGGTGCACCTGCAAATATGCTACACGGCAGTCTTGTTGTAGTATAATGTCGATTGGAATTGTTGAATTGTATTAATTCGTTATGAATTACAGTTGACACCTTAAATAGAAATAAATGACAAACATTATTGCAATTCGTTTGGGTCATTTCAGATAGTATACAAAACACAAGAAAAACGCCGATATAATTAAAGTTCAAACACTTATTAATATATTGATAACAAACGATTCCAGCGATGAATAAAATACATGTAGTTAAAGCTATTACACTATATTTTGCTCACAAAATAACATTTTTCACACTCCTGAGCTAATATGACACTCATATTTAGATATGGATGGAAGGTAAATATTGATTTTAACAAACGAAATAAAAAAACATACATTCAAAGATGTGTGATTATTTAGCTTGTGTAGATGCAATTTGCTCAACAATGTTCAACACTTCATCCCATTCAACGTTAAGTGACTTCGTTGATTTCATAGCTTGTAAAAGAGTATTGACGGTGGCATTTTTTTCCTGCTTAGCTTTCCATTTTAACAGCATTTTGTAGATCCTCACACTGCAGGTGTCATAGTTCATTGATAAGTGATCGCTTTCTACACTGCTCAAACCAAGTTCACTTCCAAGGAGTTCCCAGTTGTTACCAATGGATTGTGCTATTTTGCTCAATTGTTTTTCATTTAACTGACAGTCTTCTGTAAGTTCTATCATGGAGATTTCTTCAAACCATTCGGAAAGTGCCTGCTGAGCGTGTATTTTGTGATTGGCTGGTATATCAAGGCAGGGTTCAATGCTTTTACTTCTAAGGTTTTCTAATTGCAAGATTTCATGACTTCCATTTATACCATGGCTTTCATGGTTGCAGCTAAAACATGTCTGGAAAGGCTTACCTTGGAGTGTTGATGAATCTCGCAGTTTATTGAATTCACTGATGACCACTGACTCTGCAAAGCGTCTGAACTTATCTGCTGTAACGTTGTTAACATTTCGAGATGTGCAAAGGCTAATGACACGCATCTCAATTCTGTTCTGTTGTAGTTCAACAACTCCAGCATTCTGGTTGTCCAATCTAAAGACTCCTAAATTTTCGTACAGCAAGAATTCCTTTCTTTGTTTTGATATGCCTATTTGGACAACTGGCCACCTTGCTACCATAGCAGCAATAAGACGACAGTATACAATTTGTACAACAGGGGAATATTGAAATGCCATCAGAAACCTTAAAGATGTCTGCTTCTTTCCTGTAAGGAACTCTTTAAGTGTCTTGTTATCACTGTGGTTCCGTAGAAAAATAGGGACAATATACCATCCGAGAGGACTACATTTCCCAGTTTTCTCGTCAAAACATGAAACTTCAGATATAATGTAATGCCTCTGCATAAACATCAAAATTTCATTCTTAAATTTGGATAACTCACTATTGGAATCAAAACATTTCTCAATTAGCTCTATTGTCAGTTTTGCTTCGTTTTGTAAAAGCTTCCACTGGCTGCGATATTGTGGTTCTTTTCTGCGAAATTTCTCTGATGTCACAATACACCTGAACGCATCAATGAGAAATTGTGTATCAAGTACAACGTATTGTGATATCGGTTCTTCGTCAAAGAAAAACAATGTGCCTTTCCTATGGTGATATAGTAGGAACAACTTGATTTCTTCTTCTTCCTTTAGCGGAAAATCATTTTGTGAATCGATTTCCACCACTTTGCTAAATGGAATAATCTTCTTGTATCGTATCTGAACTAATTCTTTTTCAAGGGCAATCCATCTTGCAGGAACTTTGAGTTTAGAATGTTTTCTAATATGTATTATTTCCTTTCGCAGTTCTTCAATTTCCTTGTCGTCGGGATCAGTGCTATTGACTACAAAATCTTTTGTATGAATATGATTGAGAACAGGTGTGTTTTCAAAAAGTGTTCTTATTTTTTCAAAATATTCTTCTGCATATTGATTTTTTTCATTTTCCGTTCCATTTAGTTTATCTTTATGCGTTCCGACAAGAATAACCGGCGGATTTGAACCGTCGTTTGACCCGACATATGAATGAATGGAGTTCATCCAAAACTTAATGAAATGTTCCATTGTTTTGTCACCTGTTTCCATAGGATATTCAGTATCTAAAACGACCTCCGACAGTGGTTTTGATAAATCAAACACCAATAAATACACAGCGCGATTGCTGTGAAATATGGTGTGCGTAGCATAGAAGACAAACTGGCCAGCAAAATCCCATATTTCAAAATTTCCATCTTCACCGCGCACAATCTGTTTAGATGTTAGGAGAGTCGAGAGTTTATGTACTTCTTTCGGTGTCAAAGATGATTTTTCATTTTTTCTAGTATTATCCGTGCTTACCGCTTTTGTTTTTGTACACCAAATTCGTGATGCACTGTCAATAACTTCTTTATTTTCAGACTGTGATGCGCGTTTTTTTCTAGTATTATCCGTGCTGTCCGCTTTTGTTTTTGTAAACAAAATTCGTGATGCACTGTCAATATCTTCTTTATTTTCAGGCTGTGATGCGCGTTCTTTAAGTTCTGAAGAATGGTCAGTATTCTCCGTTGGTTCGGTGGTGTTTGATTCATCGGTCACATTTTCCTCCTCATTCTTTGCGACTTTAGCAATGCGATCGATAATGTCCATATCATCTGGCGCAGTTGTTTGGGATAACGTCACATCACCATTTACTTCAAAATATTTGCAGTGATTGATTTCTACTCCATTTGTACTTTGAACAGTTTGACACGTCTTTCCAACAAGTGATTGTGTTAAGGAGGTTTTTCCTTGTGCAAAATTCCCAACTACGTTCACCCTTACAGTGTTATCTGTTTCAAAACCTCTGGAGAGGATTCTTTGATAAAGCTCAATGTGTAAAGGATTACTTCCAATTTTTTCTGAAACAGATTGTAGTACATTAATATCATCACTCTCCTCGTTTATTTGAAAAAATTAAAACTTTAAACATTTTAAAACTGTAATGTTGGAACTATTTTAACAGAAAAATTAAATAACTTAAATAACCATTATCAATATTGTATTTGAATCAAGTATATATATATATCGTAACAAGTAAGACTTTTAATCATTATAAATTATAACATTATAATACATTTTATTATTGTAAGTTTTACACTCTTTTACAGAAAGTATATTTATCTTAACCAGGGAGACTTTTAACATTTAACTACATGTAGTTTTAAAACTGTTTTAACAGAATATGTTTTACCATTATCAAAATTGTATTTAAATCAATTATATATAACTAAACAAGAACCACCGCTGGACGGGGCAACGCTCGACTTATTTTATTTTTACTAAAAGCAAACAAACAAAAAAAATAAGAAAGCACAATAAAATGCTTTTTGATTGTTTAAAGAATAAAAATAATAATAAAGAGGTGTTCAATGTTTAAATTTAAACCTGAAATACTGCAGATGATCTAAATTTTACAGGTTTAGATTCAAGGACAAGAAAGTAGATCACTTCATCCACATCTAGGTCATGTATCAAATATCAATTATGCATTAAGAAGACTGTGCATTTGATCCATTTTTATAGATGTTAATCAACGGACAAGACAGTAGGTCACTTCGTCGAAATTTAGCTCGGCTGATATCAAAATTAAATTTTACATTTAAAACTGATCACATGGTCTAAATTTCAAAGCTGTACATCAAATGACAAGAATGACAGTAGGTCATTTCGTCAAATTATATATGTCAGCTGATATCAAAGTTCAAAAGTATGCCACTTTGTGGAAACCTACGTCAGCTGATAATAAAGTTTAATTTTACTTTTAAATCTGTGCACACGGTACAAATTTAAGTATTACAAGAAAAAAAGAAGAACTTTATTAATTTGACCTTGACGGTCAAAGTCGATTAAAGGTCAAAGTCACATGACTGTAACAATAACAGTATTTATTCTTCGAAAACAGTCGAGCTAATTAAAATGATTAGTTCAGGAGACTAGAAAATGTTCCTCTTCTATTCATATTTATCATACAAACCCAAAGTCCCAGGGGAAGGCAACATCAAAGCCTTTAATTTTGTGAGATATAGATGTTCAATTTTAAAGTCTTATGAAATTAAAGGTGCATTTATTGTGATCGAGAATTGTAGTATTTCAACACACAGGAAAATAGTTGTTTATGTAACATGCAAAGAAAACACCAATAAAACACAAGATCTTATAGTTTAGATATGGACCTCTATTCGTCGGTTTTGTTGAATAAAAAGAGTCTAACGAATCGATTTAACGGGGAAGGTATGATTTATCTACTCATTGTAAATGAAGTTTGAAGAAGATAGCAAACTTGTTATGAAGAAAAATACACCTATTAATTTTGTTCACCCGTTTATGTACGAAGTTTTCGTCAAGCTTAATATATGTCATATGCTTTAGCTTCAGTTTTCAGCGTGACAAATTAACAACTTATCTTATTAAAGCTGAATCATTTCTTACATGATCTTTTTACTTTTATTAATTGACAACAGAAACAATATTCTGATTTCAGAAATTAAAAAAAAAAATTAGATGACTCGCTTAGGGGTAAATCTTATTTAAAATTATCATCAATAAATATGTCTCCAAAATGAAAAACACTCATAATTGAGTTACATTATAAAAAGCTAACCTCAAAATAAAGTCAATAACAAAATTTGAAAGGTAGTGCTAAAACTATTATTTATTAGCTATTAAGATACTTTATGCTACGTAGTGCCTTAGGGGTAAAAAAGTATTTATGATTATAATATATGCACAATGTAAGTCCGGGCGAATAGCGTGTAATACGTTGGAGAATTAAGCCATTAAATATGGCTTCGAACAAGGTAATGAAACACATAATGTGAACATCTTAGTAATAACCATAGGCATTATTGGTTAATGTCGATCACCTATTAGTTGTGACGTCGTTAGGACCATTGCCGTGCCTAATGGGAAATACGGCGTTTAGACTGTCACTATCATTTACTGTTTTTTTTTATTCACGGAAGTTGTTTAATATTTGAACAAATGAAAATAAATAAGATCACATGAGCATATAATGCATAATAAGGATAACTGTGATACTAATATCTCTTTTATTGGTGAGTCTACTGGAAAAGATGATAATGCTTTTAAATTATGCCATAATTGTTTTAATTCATTATTTTGTTACAGTTAAAAAATCAAAGGTACACGTTACCGAAATGAACTTCTATAAATAACCTTTGTAAGTTATTTTGGCAACGTTAACTTAATGACAAAAGTGGGCAGGATTTCCATATTTTTAGCAGCTTTTTATAAATTATCCTAATTATTTGTCACTATCAACTTCTGGTCACTCCTAATCGTAATAGTTAATATTAACGTTAATGCAAATCACACAGACAACGAAAATGACAATAATGTCACTTAAAGTAGATATATCTTAACAAGTGCATCTAGGTTGCTTAATCTATTCCCGGGATAATTAATGCTTCATATCTTTTATGTGTTACAAATGATGTGATGTTGTGTCCTTATTATACAAATCAAAGAGCTTGCGGATTTGTCATTTTTAAATTAGATATTCAATGTAAATCTTAAAATAATTTTGAAAATTTTTAGCATTCTAGTTTTGAAAATTACCTGACGCAAACAAATTGTCGAATGGCAAGGCATTCTAAAGTATGCAATGACTTTAATCGTGCTTAAATAATATCGGAATACCGAAATTTTGTGATATTATATATAGTTGCATATGTTTTAATTCATAATAATGATGTTATTACATGTACCCATTGCGATATCGACTAAAATTCGAATGAGTCAAAATATTGTAGAATATACTACAAACACGGATAAACCGTCGATAAGGTAATAATAAGATACTTACCACCGATATCGTCATAAATATGTAGATCCTGAAGTCAAATCATTTTACATTTTATTCAAAAGATACATGATAGACAAGCTTAGTCCGAAATATTATATTTCAAACAAACATATTAAAGTAAAGGCTTTGATCCATAAAGCAAATATTGCCACTATTTGATCAAGCATGTGTTTGACCGGTTCATTCTAACATATATTAGAAACAGGAAGTTTATCTCTTACCTTAAATTGCTTAAAACTGAAATTTAAAGATTCTTTTAAGACATGTCAAATGTGTATATTTCTATTGTAAACTGCTACTCTTTGTTGAGTCGTTTTGAATCGTTAAATGAAAAGGATTTGAGCGAGCGTTTTAGATTTCCTTCTAGCAATTTCTTTCAATCCAAATTCCTGCTGACGATTCACTTGTAAACCATGTTTACTATAACTAAAACTAACGAGTTCATTAAAGTTAGTTGCACATAGAGTATCTAGATAATGCCAATGCGTTAAGATTTTATGCTACAATATTTTCTTTAAATATGATAGTATAAAACAGTTTGTTGTTGCTTTTTTTAATTTGGTGCTGTTGTTTTGTTGCTTTTTTGTTTTGTTTGATTTGTTTTTTGATAAGTCACAATGTAGGTATTTGATTATCTTAACATCAGAATTTATGACATTGACAGCATAGTAGGCCAATTATTGCGCTTAATGTAAAATTTTATCATAGTTTTCAAATGTTATTTGTACAAAAACATACGTTTTACAATGGATAAAACTATCAACAAGATATCAAAATTAATTTATCTGGAATATGTCGCTTAATTTCTATGTCTCGTATTACTCTTTTTAGTAAAGAGATAGTATACAATTGATGTTTTTTAAAAATGGATACATTTTAACCCAGTGTGGAATACTCGTTAAATGTCACATATAGAGATCGTTAATGTTCAGCGCTATTTTATGATTGATATAAAACTTAAACGTATCTAAGACAAGTGGAAAAAATGAATCGTAATATAAAGTTTTCATATATTTTTGTATATATAGAATGGGGAAACAACTTGAATAAACAATGATCGAAATATTGATCTATACTAAAAAAATTATGTTTCTTCCATTTTCTGTCATTTGTGACCAATGTTTTGACAAATAAGAGAATACTTACATCACATTTAATGATGTTTTACAATTTTATATATAAATTGATACTGTTGAGAGTGTTGTTTTACCTCCGTATGAGTTGTCCGGTTTTAAAGTAGATTTAATTGGTCGAAGCTTTCGTAAATGCTTTACTTATATATATTTCTTATCTAAATATCCTTATTAAAACATTACGTAAATGTAACGCCACGCATGTTGTAATCATCGAATTTTGAATCTCTTATAAATTGTTTAAAGAGCGGTTGATTGCTATTACTATATATTTAATACCATCTACTTCCTAAGAATCCCATGTCCATCAATTCTTCTATTTTTTAAAGATGTTGGACTTAATATTAGAATTTTCACTGATTAAGTGCAATAACTAAGTCAAAAATATCTAGAAACAAAGAGAAGATTTCCTATCAAACTTTAACATGTTCTGTTATTATTATCAAGATTGTCATTACGGTTTTCTACATAAGTGATTTCATTATTAACATCCTAACAGATTTGTAGATACAATACTGAAATGATTGATCTCTGGTGTGATGAACATTTGCTATGCTCTTAGATAAGTTTCTCGTTTTACCTAATACGTGACTTTTCTACACTCAAGATGAATTAATCAATGCATTTTAATTTTAAAAATTGGTTCGTTGTTTCATTTCAAGCATTTCTTATTATTTTATATCTTTAATTAAAAAGTACTTTAATGATATAGTAACAAATTCCATATCTTTGGGCATTGTTGTGATACTTCAGATTTAAATGGTTTTGCAAGAAACATTTAAATGACAAAATTTTGCAAGATCTTTACTTTTAAAACTTATTTTTTATTTCTTGAAAAAAGTTGACTTAAACAAAACTATATTATATTTTTATTACGCTAGACATATTTTCAATAAATAAATATTGTTTTTTTGTTGTTGTTGTTGTTGTTGTTGTTTTTTTGTTTTGCTTTGGGCCCTTC